TAAACATATAATGGCTATTGCATCACCTTTGAAATAAGGCATTGGTAGTTGGATTAGAGATGTATCATAAAACATTCTTTAACATTTGCTTGAATGTATTAAAAGTTAAAACACATATATGCAATCCTAACCTAAATCAAATAGAAAATATTTTGATGAGTTTATAAATAAGAGCACGGAAGGTTGAAATTTACACCTCCCGTTAATGTGAAATCTCACGTTACATCATAATCAAAAATAGAAACTTAAAACAAACCAATTAAAAAATTGTATACCTTGACTTGAGTACTTATAACAATTGGTGACACGATTATTACAATAGAAATTTAATTTCTTACTACAAAGCCAATCAGTTTAAAGTTGGCATTGCGTTCATGTATAACTTGACATACACGTAACTAGTAACATATCAATGGGAGGTAAAGAAATATACAATGTACCATAAAAAATGTAATGAAAAAAGAATTATTCAAGAGAGTAAAAAAAACTTTCATAAAATTCCTTTTTTCTTTTTTTCTTAGTCTCTTTTTCATATGAGGCTCAAACTATGGTTGCCATGGAAAAAGACGAGTCTTTTTATCCTTAAAATTCTTCAAAACCCAATTTCTCAAACTCACATCTTTAACCTCGCAATACCGATTGGACCAATCATTCGGTTCGACCAGTTTAGTCCCTAAATCAGGTGCTCTATCTTTAGAGCCTACATTTTTCTTCTTTTTTCCAATCTGCCACATAAGTTGCAGCCCTTCTATAAAATTTATCTTTGAACACTTTTCATACTTGATATTTATAATGATTAATCACCATGGAACCATTGTCCACATCAACGGCCACAAACGGTGGGGTTAGATGAAAATGATGCACTACGCAAAAAAAATTCCAACCATTGTATGTCTTTCGATTGGATCAAATGTATATCCTTCGAAGGCATCATTTGTGTATCCTTCGAATAGGCCTTACTAGGTGTCAAAAGGTGGAAAATTGTATGTTAAGGATTTTAGATGTGGAATCAAACCCGTTTCAAAGGGAGCCATTGCCCAGTCGAAACTAGCACAAAGGAAGCCAATGCCTTGTGGATGCTAGCAATAGGGAGGCCAAAGCAAGCATAAAAGAGCTCATTTCCTAGTGAATCGAATCAGGCACGAAAGATGTATTTGTCTTGTGGGTCGAAGGAAGCTTTTTGCCTAGTGCATCATCATAGTTAAATAGATCGTCATTGCGATTTAATGCGGGGAACCTATTCTTACTCTAGCTTAGTTCTTATGAAGATACCCCTAATTCTTCATTTTATTTCACCTAACTATAGTATACTACGTTAGCTACGCACAACTTTGAACAATACTTCATTCCGAGCTCTAGAACTAAAGTTATGCTTGTTCCAAGATTTCAATCCAACATTCCAGTTATGTCTCCCATCACCCGGTGAAACCCATCCATCACCCGGCGAAACATCACAGAGACCAACACCCCATTTTACTTCCTTGCCTCGCCCCGCCTTCGCCTGGCGACGATATAGAAAAGCTTCATCGCCCGACGACACCACCTCCGTCGCCCGACGATGCACACCAGGTAGAAACTTTTTGCTGTGATCCTGCACCTGTTCAGTCCCAAATACTCTTGTGGCCTTACACCAAAACAGTCATAATCCTCATAGTTTTCAATATAGAATCACTATACAACAACTACACAATATTATAAATATTATATACACCAACTCATGACAATTCAACATAGTACTTTCATCAATTTGAACACGAGTTCTTCACAAAATAACATATCACCAAAACCATCATAAAATCAACATAATAGCATATATTATATTCGCACACGCATATTACCAAATTATCATTATGAATCACATCATTTATGTTACAACATCATTAACAAATCACCACGATAAAACATCATAATCAACATCATGTTTACCATTAAAATAGAACATCATGGTATATCAACATGTAATAAATAAATCTCATAAATATATAGATACTGGAATCATGCATCAAAACACTCATATAATTCAATCATAAGATAATTCATCATGTTAGCTTTCCAACCTTCGTACTACGCATCAATCAGACTCATGAAACTCAAGTTATGGCATTTTTAAGAAAATTAGACAGCCATTCAATTCTACCACCCGTCGCCCGGTGCCACCTTAGCGTCGCCCGACGATGCGTCACTTTTGCGTGGCCTTTGCGTCTCCCGGTGCTGCGTCGCAGACAACACTTCTCCTCCTGCGATTTTCCACCATTTAAGGCCTTCCGGAACTCCAAATTCGATTCCGTAAAAAGTACTGCTTTCAGAATTCGAAATTCTATATTTATACAATATTCTTAACATCCTATAACACTTATTTAAAGGTCCTAACATCACACATTCATCAAGGATTCATTCCTCCATTCATTCAATGAATGATTTTTATCAATTTTATCAATCTTTATCCTAAAATCATCACACAAAACACAATCTTACAATTATCTAAACCTTAGATCGATTATAATAACAATGATAAACACTCCTTACCTTAGAATTTGTTGCTAGCTTCCAAATCCTCTTTGTAATCTACCATTCCTCTTTGCCTCTCCATGCCCTAACTTTTCTCCTCCTAGTGTCTGTCTCCAATATTTCACGATCGTTCTAATGAAATAATTTCTCCTATTATTTGTTTAACAATAGGACCCCTAATATTTTCCCATATTGTCCTCACTTAACCTTTCACCAATTACCATCTTACCCTCAATAGTCCACATGACATTACCATTTAGTCCTTCTTGTCTCTACACCATTATTCCTTCTTTTATTAATATTTAATAATTCTAAATATTATTATTAAATCCAATAAATCCAGAATAATTATTTAAATTCTAAATAATTATAAACTAATCAAATACTCCTCATATATTATTATTCCAACACTACCCCACAATATACCATCACCAAACACACGATACATCATATAAATCATAATAATTCCTAAATAATCACAAATAATTAATTAAATAATTGATTGTGATTTTTGGGGTGTTACACAATACACCCCTCATGTACACAACATACTCGTCTTCTATTTATTCATAAATGGACTACTATACCTTAACAAATACACCCTCTTGCAAGAGAACCCGAATGAGCCATTCTGATTTAGAAATATCCAAGCATTCTTAATAATGTAAAACTGGGCTGGACGCGAAACCAAAAGAAACCTTAACCCAAAATGAAATGGGCTTAGCAAATTGAATGTTAAGCCCCTAACCTAAGATACACCCTTCACTTAGCAAGTGAATTTTTAATGGACTTAAAATTTTACATGGACTTTTCTGATTTAGAAAGGCCTATTAATTTCTTAATAAGGTAAAAACCCCTCTTTTGAACTTAAATCTCAAGCAAACGATAACTCTGAAAATTAATAAGGGATAGAAACCAGTAGGACAAATTTGAGGTATGACAAGTAGCATACTAGAGACTAGTAATATGCATGTTTCAACTAGTCGGTCACTTATAAAATATGGAGGAAACTTTAATCTGATCGGTGAGATAGTTAGTGATACTTTTGGTGTGAACATATGACCTATGATGAGGTAGAAGATTTTGATTGAGAAGAGTTGCCGAATGAAGAAGCGTAAAGATTTTATCAATTATTGAATGAGATGAATACACTGTTAATTGAAGAGTCGTTCAGACTCAAAATTATTAATGTGTGTGAGATCATTCACATCACTAATAATGTGTTCAGACGTGATTCTTCATGTTGTAACGTGAAAATCACGTCGCTGTAGAGTTTTTTTTTTGTAGTGAATGATCCATTAGTATCATCTAATTTTTTTTCCATAACATTCACAAATAGATCTTTCTCCATAATGATTGTATCATTACATTGTAACTCCTGTACTATTGTTGTAATAATTTTTTTTACATACTGATTAGTTTTTTTGGAACATAAAATGCCATAGTTGTTATCTTTTCCTTCCTTAGCTTAGCCATAGTTGTTGCAAGACAATATTTTAGTGAATGATAACACAATGAAAGAATATTTTGGTACTCAACATCAACGAGAAAAGCATACCCCTCATTTTCAACAAGAACGAATTTGAGCAAAAATTCTAACAAATCAAAATCTTCTAAAAAATTCTAGCATAATATTCAAAAAATTTAGTCTGGGTTGCTTCTTCTAAAGCAAAAGGGACACAAATATCTTGAAAAATATTGTGGTCTATAATATTCTAGAATAAGATATGTGTTCTAATTCAAGATTGTACGTTGTTGTTTTTAACCAAATATGGACCGAAGCCCCGTGTCCAAGTGAGTACGAAAGAATACCAAGAGAAATTCCACGACCCTACTGTCAAAATCCTTCTAAGATCCTTCATAAATGTGGAAAAAAATTCTTATCAATAGGTTTGAGAGGCCATTTTCCTAGAATATTCCAAAGAGCATTTAACTTTTTTGTGGTGTCTCTATGGTCGAAGAAAATTCTCATTTCTTGAACATTATCCTTTCATGAAGGAAAAAATTGTAACTATAAAGACCATCAAAATATAATGGCTATTGCATCACCTTTGAAATAAGGCGTTGGTAGTTGGATTAGAGATGTATCATAAAACGTTCTTTAACATTTGCTTGAATGTATTAAAAGCTAAAACTCATATATGCAATCCTAACCTAAATCAAATTGAAAATATTTTTGATGAGTTTATAAATAAGAGCACGGAAGGTTGAAATTTACACCTCCCATTAATGTGAAATCTCACGTTACATCATAATCAAAAAATCAAAAAATTGTATACCTTGACTTGAATTCTTATAACAATTGGTGACACGATTATTACGATAGAAATTTAATTTCTTACTACAAAGCTAATCAGTTTTGAGTTGGCACCGCGTTCATGTATAACTTGACATACACGTAACTAGTAACATATGAATGAGAGGTAAAAAAATATACAATGTACCGTAAAAAATGTAATGAATAAAGAATTATTAAAGAGTAAAAAACACTTTCATAAAATTCCTTTTTCTTTTTTTCTTAGTCTCTTTCTCATATGAGGCTCAAACTCTCGTTGCCATGGAAAAAGATGAGTCTTTTTATCCTTAAAATTCTTCAAAACCCAATTTCTCAAACTCACGTCTTTAACCTCACAATACCGGTTGGACCAATCAGTCGGTTCGACCGGTTTAGTCCCTAAACCAGGTGCTCTATCTTTAGAGCCCACGTTCTCTTCTTTTTGCCAATCTACCACATAAGTTGCAACCCTTCTATAAAATTTATCTTTGAACACTTTCCATACTTGATATTTATAATGATTAATCACCATCGCACCATCCTCCACATCAACGGCCACAAACGGTGGGGTTAGATGAAAATGATGCACTACGTTAATAAGGGTCTGATTCAGTGCATCAGGTCTGATAATACTCTTATGTCTCTCACGTCCCGCCAACCGACACGTGTACCCCATCATCACACCTTGACTTGGAACATCCTTTAGGCCCGAAGGCCCAAAACTATAGCATGGTGTTCTTATTTCAGCTACATTTTTTCCGGGCTTTGAATAATGCCAAATGACATGTCGTAAGTCTACTTTTATCCTCACATTGAAGAACTCATCGACGTCAATAAATCCAAGCCACTCGCACGAGGCCCGGGCCCGTAAAGCACAATGAGCAAACCCTGCTTCTTGTGTTTTCACCCAGGCCCATAAGTGCCATGTGATGTTGTAACCCGCATCTTGCAAGTAAGCAATCTCATTTTCTATGTCGTCGTCGCTGTTGTTGTCGTATATAAACCATCTTTGGACTCCGATTTTTGAGTGGTAGATTACCCATTCTTTGATGAACCGGGCTTGGTTTCGTAGCATCGTGCATATGCATAACTCGTGCGGTTTTCGGGTTGATGATTTTTGCAATGGGATAAGCCCGGGCCTTGCGATGGAGGGAAATATTTTTTTACCTTCAACTTGAATAGATACTTTAATAAAAGCATCAGGTTGGGCTAAAATGGTTATAGGTGTTTTGCATCTTATAATCTCTTGAGCAGCTGATAAAACATCTGATTTAAATAAGAATTTGGGTTTTGTGAAATCCCAACCGTACACACATTGGAATCTAGACGGTTCAGCTAATTTCTCTGGTCGAAGATTTAGACCTTTTACAAATACTATTGTGGTCTTGTCACGATCAAACAAAGCTTCATAAACCAGTGGGTCCCAATTATGGGTTGAAAATGAGTTTTTTATTTGAACAGAACCGTTTGATTTTATTTGAACAGATACAGTCTCGCCACGTGGAGGCATCGGACACCGTACGATTTGTTCATGAAGCCTAACAGAGTGAAGCTGAATCGGTTCTTGAAGCCGAGGCGCGGAGTCAGCCGATGAGTAAACACATTGAAGCTCATTTTTCGTATGATGGTGAAAAGACAAAGGGTAGTTTAGGAAAATCAAAACCTGGTCGGGAAGCGTAACGGTTTCTCGGATTGTGATTTCTGGCGGCGGCGGGCTTCGCCATTTGAAAACTGTTTTTGGGAAGTAAGAGGAATAGGTGGAAGAGAAAATGAGAGAGGTGAAGATAATGGAAGACAAGACAACAACGATGCTGAACAAAAAGAACGTGCTCCATGAAACGACACGGTTTTGTTTCCTATGATTTTTCATGGGAGAAGCCCAAAATGACAAGAGAAATGTTCTTTGGGTTGCTTCATGTCAGTTTTTGATTGAATGAGTTGGTGAAAGTTGGTAGATCATTTTTTTTTTTTTAACTTTTTGCAAAGAGAAAGGACAAAGAAAAAGAACGAGAGTGAATTACGGGGATTGAACGGCAGAGATTAAATTATGGAGCATAATCTGTTATCAAATATTACATTTGTTTTAGATTTAGATGCTATAAGGATAATTATATACTCTCTCTTTCTTAAAATTCATATATATATATATATATATATATATATATATATATATATATATATATATATATATATATATATATATATATATATATATATATATATATATATATTTCGTATTTTCTTAAATCATAGTCTTTTCCAACTTTGTCTTATATCTTGGGATGTTTGTAAAATCATTAGAAAAATTATTAGAAAAAGAATAAATATAAGATGCACAATTAAGAAGTATATTTAAATTATACAATAAAGAAAATATTTAGTTGATTAACATTTGGTTTAGTAGTTATAGAAATAAAAATGAAATTGACTTTTCCATTCGAGGGTGCACTTAGAAAATAAAGTGTGGAATTATAAAAGTTCGTCGGAAAAATAATCATTATGATTTAAATGGCTATATATTTTTTTAATCTAATTCCATTGATTCTTGGATGAACAGTTAGTATTGTCTCTGATACAAAGATAAAGAAATGAAAATGTTAATCGAAGGTGAAGATGTTCGTCTATATGCTTACAACATCAATCAGATATGTAATATACAAAATTGTTCCATCTGCTACAAAGATCAAAATGAAACTTAGACAAGTACGAAGTTCCTTACCCTAGCAGACCAGACAAAAACAAAAGAAATGTGACGAGATATCAGACAATATTAAAGATTCCTTACTCCTATTATAACTTCTCATCTGATAAACAATAGTATGCTTCTCTACAAACATTATAAAATTAGTAAATATCTGGTGAACTGTCTTTACCTCATCCATGACGAGCATAGAACAATCTTTTAGAACACAAACATCATTCCTTGCAAGAACCAAAATTCTTCCTGGAGTACCAACTAGCAGATGAACATGTTGATATAAACGCATATTGTTTCAGGCTTGTACCGCTTGTTGTGACCATAACTTGAATTCGCAAATGTTTTCCAAGCTCTTTACATACTTGAGATGTTTGCGAAGCTAGTTCTCGTGTTGGAACCAGAATACTTGAGATGTTTTCCAGATTAATTATATAGAAAAACCCAAAATCCCATTAATTTTTTCATTTTTGTAACTTATTATTGACAACAACCCATTTGATAATTTTCCAGATATATTTTTGTTGATTGATGAAGATGAAACAAAAACCCATTTGGTATTTTTCCAGATCTGTTCTTGTTCATTTTTCAGATCTGTAATTTTTCCAGATCTGTTCTTGTTAATTTTTCAGATCTGTAATTTTTCCAGATCTGTTCTTGTGATTTTTCTAATGATTTTTTCAGATCTGTAATCTTTATTGTATAATTTAAATATATTTCTTAATTGTGCACCTTATATTTATTCTTTTTCTAATGATTTTGCAAACATTCCAAGATTTAAGAAAAATTTGGGGAAGACTATGATTTAAGAAAATACGAAACATAAAAAATATATATAGATATATCATTTATAAAATAAATCAATAAGATGTAAATGGTCTAGTGGTAAGCATGTTGTGAAGCTATCAACATGTCCTTGGTTTGAATCATGTCTCAAGACAAATTTTCTTGAGAGTTTTGATGATCATTAATGATGAACATATGCCACGCGAGTGTTCAGGTGCCACATCAGATGTCACTCAAGTAAAAGTTGATGTTATTAGGACGAAAATGAATCTTTTTGAACAATTAAATGACCACTTTAGAACTCCTTAAAGATAAGGGACCAAAACGAGTATTTTGCCTAAAAAAAATCCTAATAATTATTTCCACATTTGTAAAAAGGGAGATGGCAAAAAATATCAAAATAAAATAAAATTAAAAGAACAAAAAGCTGAATTTTAAAATAGGGAATAAAAAAATTAAAACATAAGACCAAAAGTTTATTTAGATTGATGTTTAATTTGTTGATCCACGTGTTACATACATCAATAAAATTATATAATTTAATAAATATGCTTCAACATTTGATTCCACAATTTTGCCATTGCTTTTAACAATTTTCTGGATCGGTCAAATACCTAAAGACGAGAAGGCCCAATCATCAATCAAAAGAGTGTCCATCAAAGTGTTGAAAGGACATCACATCCACGACTTTGGGATTTGTACTCGATCCACGCCATAGACAGTTATCCACCATTAGAAATCATCTGACGAACCCCGATGTTCCATGGCAGGAAGCATGAGGCGCCTCTAACTATCCCTCAAATATAAGGCATCTCACGCAAGATCCAAGGTACATTATTACCATAACTTACTATATCTTTTTCACCTATTCACTAACTTGGACATTGAAGTGCTAACCTTAGGCCCCCTTTGTTTTGTCGTATTAGAGAACTCACCACTGTATTACTTAACTTCATACTCCCAGGTATATCACTTACGACTCTTTTTACAAAATAGTGTCGCCGTCTATGAGAATTGAATTTTGATTCATGCAAATTTCCATAATCAGATGCTTATGATTCACAATTATTACATCGAAGAGGCTAAAACAAAGAAGATGACCTCTGATCCAACTATCAGTCGTAGACCCGCTAACTTTAAGATCATCTCATGTCTTTGTCGTCAACTCAATTGGCAGTGGACCGTTAAATAAGAAAGAGCCTCCACCACAAAGTTCCCTCAAGTTACCAACAACAACCAAAGACAAGACAATGATAAACCTATTTTAGGGTTTTGAGACCACAAAAACGTGGATGGAACTCCTAATGTAGCACTCTCACCGGTCTTAATTGTAACGCCCTTTAATTATTTATTTAATTAAATATTTTGATCTTTTTTTGTTAATTTAAATTTTTATCGTCGAAGTCGGAATTATTTTATTAAGTTGGAATAATAATTAATCAGATTTAATTTGGTGGAATTAAGTTAAAGTGTTATTTTATTATTAAGCTTAAATATGAATTTGAGCTTAATTGGTGGTGTTGTGTAGTAATAAAGGGGTATGTCATTTATGCCCATTTGAGTTTTTTAAGATTAAATAAAAAAATATAACTATTATATTGGAAATAGAATTAGAGGAAATAAGAGAGAGTATTGTTATCAGGAAAGAAAAGAGCAAAGAGGAAAATAGGGTTTGTGGGAGGAGAAGAAGAACAAGAGGAAATTTCTTCAAGTGCCAAATTCCCTAAAAATTCGGTTGAAGTCTCTTAGAGCTTCTCTTAATCCAAGGTAAGGGTGGGGTTCTGACTCTATAATAGGGTGTATGATTAATAGTATGTGAATTTGGGTTATGAAAATTATTTCTAATTGTGTTTGAAATTGGTATATTGGTGAAATTGAGATATGATTTAGGACACAATATAATTAGATAATACATATATTTAAGTACCTTAGTATTTTTCTTTGCAAAAATTCCAATTTTTTGTACTGTAGCGCAAATAAGGAAGTAGCGCTTAGAAGTAGTGCTTGTTACTGTAGCGAAATTTAAGAAGTATTATTTAATAGGCATATGCTTGCATTACTGTAGCGCCAGATTGAAGTAGCATTTTGAGCAATTAATTGGCATACTGAAGTAATATTGTAAAGTTGCGCTAGATGGAATGATACTTAGAAGTGATAGTTTGCTACTGTAGCGTAAGATGAAGTAGCTATGAAAGGCATTTATTTTGCAATGCAGTAGCATAAGGTAAAGTAGCAATTGGAGTAATAAATTGCTTGCTACTGTAGCGATAATAGAATGGAGTAGTATTTAATGGTACATATTTTGCTTACTGTAGCGCCAGATTGAAATAGCACTTAAAAGCATTTGCCCTGCATACTGTAGCGAATAAGTGTAGTAGCATCTAAAGACATTTGCTTACTACTGTAGCGATATAAGAATGAAGTAGCTTTTAGAAGTGGTTAAATTGCATAATGTAATGCAAGGAATAAAAGTAGCATTTGGAGTATTAACTTGCTACTGTAGCGCAATTAAGGAAGTAGTATTTAGAAGTAATTGCTTGCAATACTGTAGCTACTACGTTCCGGTTTACAAATACAAAATATTTGATAATGAGGATTTAATATCTTTAATAAATAATTTCGTAGGATTTATAAAGTAGAATTAATAGAATTTTTGACCGATAATTAATTAACCGAATTTAGCCAAAATAGTCTGAATAATTATGCGGTTTATTATAGTAATTTTGGTTGATCTGTTGGGTGGCATTTTTGTGGAAAATGTGAAATTTGCAGGTGATTTCATTGCCTCTATTTATGGGAAAAATATTAAGTTGCAGGCTTATGGCCAATGTTGAATTAAGTTGAATTATTGTTGTTGTTGTTGTTGTTACGTTCATGTCGTTAATGCATACATAGCATATCATGTTGGAGCTGATGCTCGTCAAGTTGGCCTGGATTGGAAAATATAAAGTTGAAGGCTTATGTCTTGTTGATGCCTCTATTTATTGGCAGATTTCTAAGTTGGGAGTTCTGCTCCATTGGTACCACATGCATGTGTATAAAGACGAGTCGCATTTCATGTTGCATTCTGAGTTGTCGTGTGGATAAATTAATTATGTTGAATATTGATAAAAAGCTGTGAAGTGGTAAATTGCATGATCTAATACTAATATATTATTTATTGTATATCCGATTATATGGTTTGATATCTCACCCCTTCTGTTTGAATGTTGCCCTCTGTTGGTAACGTGCAGGTAATCAAGAAGGTTAGCTGTTACCCTCGTTAGTTCGAGTCGGTATTGTCGTTCTGATACGTAGCACTCGGGGAGATGAACGCATGTTTTCTTCATTGTCAATTTTCATTATGTTGCTGAATTTTTAAGTTGTTTTCATTAAAGACTTGTTGTCTT